TGGAGTCCGGCCTTTAAGCAGCGTGGTGGGCAGCAGGGCCTGGAGTCCGGCCTTTAAGCAGCGTGGTGGGCAGCAGGGCCTGGAGTCCGGCCTTTGTTCTGCATTGTCTCAGCTAACATTTGAGGAAAAAGCTACTTCCTTCGGGCGGCGCCTGTGGCTCAAAGGAGTAGGGCCCTGGCCCTATATGCCAGAGGTGGCGAGTTCAAACCTAGCCCCAGCCAAAAAGTGCAAAAAAATGAAAAAAATAAAAAGCTGCTTCCTAGCTAGGCCCACTATGTATGCCCCCATGTCATTGTCCTTGGGTATTCCGGTTCCTCCTACATCCTGAAGGCGGGCGCGGTGGGTAAGCTGGTGTGTCCATGTGGTCCGGCGGGAGGGTGGGCATGGGCAGTGCACCCCAGACGTGGTGGCGGCTTGTGCAAGGGGGCCCTGCCTTGTGCCACCGAAACCCTGGAGAACTCATTCATATGAATCTCTCTTCAGTGATGTTTAGCCTGCATTTATTTCAGCATTTAACACTAGAAGTGTTTAGATCTTTACTTAGAAGTTTTGTGATATCTTTTTTTTTGAGACAGAGCCTCAAACTGTCCCCCTGAGTAGAGTGCTGTGGCATCACAGCTCACAGCAACCTCCAACTCCTGGGCTCAAGCGAGTCTTCTGCCTCCGCCTCCCAAGTAGCTGGGACCACAGGCGCCCACCTCAAAGCCCGGCTAGTTTTTGGTTGCAGCTCTCCTTGTTGTTTGGCAGGCCCAGGCTGGATTCGAACCCGCCACCTTCGGTGTATGTGGCTGGCGCCTTAGCCACTTGAGCCACAGGTGCCGAGCCTGTGATGTCTTTATGGCCGGGGACATACCGGAGGAGCTTGGCTCTTGTTTGTGTCAGTTGGTCCAAGGCAGATGGGCCTGAGTGTGCGACCTCCACTTCAGGCCCCAGGAGCCTGCTGGGGACACTGAGGACTTGCCATATATTAAAACATCAGAGTATTGAAAGTTTTTTTGACAAAGGAATTGGAATTAGACAGGTAGATGGAAAAAGGACCAAATATAACTTCTGGAAATAAAAGTGATCAATGAGAATCTGAAATGAGAATCTGCTCATTTAAATAGACTGGACACAGCTGAAAGTGCAGCGAATGAGAAGAAAGGTCTCAGTTCAAGAAATTGTGCAGAATTGCACAGAACAGGTAGGAAATGTGAATATGTGAACAAGAACTTAACAAATGTGGACCAGGGGAGGGTTTAACATGCCCTTACGTGAAATTCCTGGTGGGAGCAGAGTCAATACGGGAGACTCCAGTTGGGAGAAGATGGTTGAAGAGGTTTCCAGGACACGTGCAAAGATCAGTCTTGAGATTCAGGAAGCCAAATAATCCCAAATAAGCCAGATAGAATTAAATCCCCACCTAGACACAACACGGGAAATTATAGAGTACACTTATAAAATATAAGTTAATATCAGACAGCCCCAGAGAAGGACGTAAGTTGTTACCTGCAAGGTGACAGCAGTTAGGCCGCAAAAGTCAGATATGACCATGGCCAAGCCAAAATTCTGTCCCCTACAAATATCTCTTACAAATTGTCTTTCAAGAATGAGAGCAAAATAAAGATGTTTTTTAATTCAGGGAAGTTTTACAAAATGCTAAGGAGTCAGACATTCAGCACTGCTCCTTACTTGATAAAGAAAACTGCAGCAGGAACGGGAAGCTGTGAGCTGTGAACTGTGAGCACAGCCCTGCACCCACACAGAAGCGCTCAGTAAGGCCGGCAGGAGTGAAGCTGTGAGCTGTGAGCTGTGAGCACAGCCCTGCACCCAAACGCAGGCACTCGGTAAGGCTGGCAGGAATGACCCTCCTGGAACGGGGCCAGCTGTGACCTGGAGGCCGGCTAGCCCCACAGGTGACAGTGAGTAGTGGAGCCTGGTGTTCCTGCCGTGATCTAACACCATACCTGGAGTTCTCCAGAAAAAGAAATGGTGAGCATGAGGAGGAAGGCCTTACTGACTCCTCAGTCCACGGCACCTTCGGGTTAATCCCTGAAAAACTATCTGAAGTAATTCTATAGAAAAACTGTCAAACGTGTGGTATACAGTGAAACCGTCAGAAGTAAAACAGAAATTTGACCTCATAAGAAACATGACATAGCTCCCATCTAGGAGCTTGAAAAAGACATCATTTCTTAGGGTTTGTTCAAAATAAAATAATATAGTTCTATCCTCTCAATGTCATGTACCTTCTGGGAACACAGGAGATTTAGGATGGCTCCTGCCTCCAAGGAGCTCTCAACTGAGTGTGAATAGGGTGGCCTGCCTGTCACCGACATTACTGGGTGAAAAAGAGCCAGTTGTCAGCTCTGTCTGAGGGCACAGTGAAGGGACGGTCCTTACAATGAGTCCAAATTCATGACTAAAGAGCACATTTTAAAGAAAGGCCCTCCTCATGAATGGCCGTCCTCACGTGGGTAAGTCACGTGGCCATCTTTACCTGTCAAAATGGAGGTTGAAAGGTAGAAATTCATCCAGCTAAGACTGGGGGGCTTTTAGACTGGGGTGCTGATCATGCTGAGTGCTTACATAAACCTCTGTCAGGAAGGGGTGTCTGCAGAAGACTAATCGGCTCTAAGCTGATTACCCTAATAGGTTTAGCTAGTGTAGTAGCCGACCACGGTGTGCTGCTAATTAACAAGTAGTCTTTTTATTTTTAACTTGCACTTTAAGCTCCCATAAAACAATGATTAATTAGGACACTTGAGATGTGGCATACAGTTGATGACTTGGGAGCTTTAAAGTGGTGTTCTTGTCTCTGTGTGTCCTAAGCAAACTTTACATTGGGGCAGTGGTTAACCCCGCTGCGGATGGAGGAGCAGAGAGTCTGTGGCCGTTTCGTGCGTTCCCTGTGTTTCTGTCTTTCTGCCCTTCTTGTGAGTGTTCTCCTGCCCGCTCCCCTCTGTGACTGCAGCAGAGGCCTGTTTGTCTTACGGGAAGTCAAACAATTTATAATTAAAAAAATTCTTTTTTTCCCTCTAGGATTGTAGAAATCTACAGTAGACGACTACAAGGTGAGCTTTTAAAATCTTTATCTACAGAAAACACTTTTTTCTTAGAGGTATTTTTTTGTCATCCTATTATAAGGGTAGTAAATATGACTCATAAAAATTAAAACTGCCAAAGCTGGGTCCAGTGGCACGTGCCTGTAATCCCAGATACTGGGAACTGGACAGGAGGGTTACTTGGGTCTAGGAGTCCGGGACCAGCCTGGGCAGCACAGTGTGAGTGTGATCTGGGCTCTTTTGAAAGTGCCTGCAGTCTATAATAATTACAGTCACCTGCTGTGTTCTTTAATCACACAGAGTAGCTCTCTGCCTAAGTATTGGCAAGGATGAAAAAGTAACAGTCCTCATAGGAATATAGAAAAGTCTGCTGCGTCTCAAGCCTCTGAAGAAATCGCTATTGTATTTGAACGTTCTTTCACATTTTTATGCATAAATCAGTATTTTAAAATCAATTTATTTGTATTTAAACAAAATAGGCTCATATATATTCTTCACCTTTTTTTCCCATTTTTTTATTCATGTAATCTTAAACATTTTTTTCTGCATTCACGTAACCATCTCGTCCATTTTGGCACCTACTGAGAGTTCCACTGTGTGTGTGGAGACGGGATGTGACTGATCCCTGCTCTGAGAGACGTGTGGGGATTTTGACCATTTTTAAAGACCTTTGACACTGTAGTGAACACTCTCATATGGAACAGATGAGGTGTTTTATTAAGGGCAGGAACTGTGTGGTTTAGATTGAATCATTGGTTCTCAACATTGCTCTAAGTATACAATTCAGTAATGGAACTGCAGCCCCTTTGTTAATCCTTTTGCAAGCAATTCATTTATTTGCTCTTCACCACCTCTACATGGTGCGGTGGTCCCACTGCACAGGTGAGAGACAGTCACTACCCTAGCCCGTTCCCTCCAGGGATGCTGGGGGCCCCTGCTGTCCCAGCGCTGCAGGGAGGGCCCTGAACAGGGGCCTCCTGTGATGCGGTCAGCTGACAAGCAAACTGGCAAAAGCTGGTTCTCACTCACACCTCAGATGTTCTATGGACAAGAAAGCCTCCAGCTGCCTGTGTCAGACTCTTAGGCGAGCTCTCTTTCCCTGCAGTTCAGGAGCGCCTCACCAAGCAAATCGCTGTGGCCATCACAGAAGCCCTGCGGCCCGCGGGAGTCGGCGTAGTGGTGGAAGCCACGTAAGTCTGAGCTCACCTTGGCGATGTCCTGCCTGGTGGGTGCAGTTTCTCTGGACACTTGAGCTAGCGTAGTGCATGCAGCCTTTTCCTGAAGGCGGATCGAGTGAGAGTCTGGCTTCCTTGTGATCTAGAAGTGTCCCTGCAGCCCACTACATGATTGTCACCTAGGAAGAAAATCCCGTTTATTCCTCTTGATGTGTTAAGGATTCAACTACTGGTAGGAATCAAAGCTCCATGACAAGAAACTTCAGGAAAAGAGTTTCAGATAACATTTGTCCCAAAAGGGATGTTTCTATGTACTTGGTACCTGTGAGCTGAGATTCATCTTTTAGCCTGCTTTGTATTTTAAAAACCAAGCCAGAATGGCAGGGTGTGGTGGCTCATGCCTGCAATCCCAGCCTTCTGGGAGGCTGAGGTGGGTGGGTTGCCTGAGCTCAGGAGTTCAAGACCAGCCTGAGCAAGAGGAAGACCCATCTCTAGAAATGAATAGCCAGGCATTGTGGTGGACGCCTGTAGTCCCAGCTACTCGGGAGGCAGGGGGAAGAGGATTGCATACGCCCGTGAGTCTGAGGTTGCTTTGAGCCATGACACCACGGCACTCTACCCAGGGTGATAAAGTGAGACTCTGTCTCAAAAACAAAAAAATGAACCCAAGCGCCTGGCTGCTCCTCTAATCAGCCTTCCTTGTCTCCTTGTCTAGACACATGTGCATGGTCATGCGAGGTGTGCAGAAAATGAACAGCAAAACTGTGACCAGCACCATGTTGGGGGTGTTCCGAGAAGACCCGAAAACTCGGGAAGAGTTTCTGACACTCATTCGGAGCTGAGTGCCGGGGCGCAGGGCGGGGCTGCAGCCTGTCCAGGGTGCAGGGCGGAGCTGCAGCCTCCCTGCTGGCAGCATCGTCTGTCATGTTTGTACGTCCCATTGTCAGTTGTTACAGATGTGAACTTTATTCTTCGTCACAAATGTATTTTAAAATTATTTATAGAAAGCCAAATAAAAATAATTAACAAAGGGGCGAGCCCTCTACTTCCTTCTTGCCACCTTTAGTGGCAATATTAAAGTTTAATATTAAATATTAAATTGCCAGAAGTGTAATTCACAGGCACAAAATCACTGCCATTCAGATGATGGGGGTGCTGGGAAGGGAGGGCAGTTTGTGTATTTTGGTGAGACAGCGGTGACAGGAGCGCAGGAAGTGGAAGACAACTGCGGCCGGTGTGCTGCTTGTTCCTCCTCCAGCAGAGACGGGGTGGAGAGTGCCACATGTTTACCTGCCGGGTCCGTGCGGTATCGCTCTGTGAATTCAGTCTGGCAGGCTCCACTTTGATCGTGTTTGTCAAACCTCCAGTGACATGCCATTTTTTTATGTGTTTATATTTTAACTATCCAGTTGTAACAGTCGCCAAGGGAAAGCAGTGGAGTATCTATGTTTCTGATTTACTGTGAGTTAAAAAGGCATGTTTCTACCTTCTGTTCTTAAATTCCAGTGCAGGGAATTAGTTCCTGAGGCTGCTTACCCACCTGTTCTCACATCCGTCCGCCCGCATGTGAGGCTTAGACATTTAACTCTCTGTGCCTTGATGAGAATAGCACACCATTCAGAGTCTAGATGTTTTTGCCTTTTTTTAAGAGCCCTTATTTTATAAGACTTAGCACTGGCAGTGCACGTAACTGGTCATCACAGTTAACCTTGAAATGTTTCCTGAGATTTTACTTTGTGTGTTCTATGTAGATGCCTTAAAACATTATTTTTGATCTTATGGAATATTTTTCTAAGAATTTCCAGAAACTTTCGAGAGTGCCCTTCATTTTCAGGTCTGCAGAGCCCCAGCTCCCATGAACCTGAAATAGCTCAGCGTGCACTGAGGGTGGATGGCCCTGTGAGCTGTGTCCACCGTCCTAGCCAGAGCCGTGGTGGTGTCTGTGGGAACCCCGGGAACCCTGGGCTGGGTTTTTCTTGTGGTCCAGGAGGGTCTTGTATTCTGTGTCACTCTGCATTTCAATCCTGGAAGCTGTTGCCTTACAGATTATCTTAAAATTTCCTCCACTGGGGCAGTGTGGGCCAAGTTAAACAAACAAAACCCAACTCCTCCACAAAGACAACGTCATTCCACTTTGACACGAGGCAGATGAGGCTCCACTCTGATCAGGATTATCAAGCCAGAATTATCCCATTACCTAGATGTAATAGACTGCAGTGTTTGCTCTGATGTTGGCAGTCCCACCCCTGCCACTTTGATGCCACTTAACTGATAAGACAAGAGGGCAGAGGCTCTTTTTTGGTGGTGGTTGTCTTTTTGACTCTTCCCTTCTATTCCCTGGCGTTTTCTGTATTTGGAATTTGAGTGCTGTGGTGGTGGTGGGTTTCTGAGTTCCGTTTTCCATCTAACCCAGTGTAAGCATGAGCTTGCGTACTTTTAGATGTGTTTAGGTTGCTTTCTGAGCACACAACTCATGTTTGGTATTTTATAGTAAAAACAAATGTGACTTGAAGGACCAAAGAAATTGTTAGCTACAAATTCATCTTTATGAGATCATTTGTATTCCTTTTTAACGACTCTTTGTTCTAGCATTTCCTAGAAGCGTTCTTACAGATGTCTGATGCACCCGCGGCTGCTGCCTTTTTGGTGAATGCAGAGTGATGACCTGTCTCTCTCTCTCGGGGCTGCAGTGCTTGAAAATTACCTTTTCATATCCATGAACTTGAGGCCATTGAGGAGGAATTTTAAAGAATTGGTTGCCTTTAAATTACACTGTTCAATCAAATTGTTTGATTATATGTATGTGTCTGTTCCTGAGGTCAGCTCTGTTTAAATTATTAAAGTGTTATACCTTGGTTGTTGTGAAAGTGGTGTCTTTTTTAATCACCAGTATAATCTTACGTATGATTAACTGGATTATTTTGAGTGTATTGAAAGGCAACTTAAGGGCTTTTCCAGCCACCCAGCTGTTACTGTACCAGGTAAACCCATGTGCTGACACTTCTCTTTGGTAACTGGTCGGGTGTTACTGTCTTTCTCCTCTTGCTGCTAATGAGAGAGGTGGTCTAGGGTGACAGTCAGGAATCTTTTTTTTTTTTTTTTGAGACAGAGTCTCACTCCATGCACTGGGTAGAGTGCTGTGGCATCGTAGCTCACAGCAACCTCAGACTCCTGGGCTCAGGCCATCCCTCTTCCTCAGCCTCCCGAGTACTGGGGACCACAGGTTTTCTTACGGACGTCTGATGTACCCACATTCTGCTGCCCTGTTGGCAAATGCCCATGTCTGCCATGATGCCTGGCTAATTTTTTCATTTTCAGTAGAGTCTTGCTCTTGCTCACACTGGTGTTGAACTCCTGAGCTCAAGGGATCCTCCTACCTTGGCCTCCCAGAGTGCTGGGATTACAAGTGTGAGACACCGTACCTGGCCCAACAGTGAGGCATCTCAGTGGCCCTCATGTGCCTGTTGTCTTAACATTGCGGGCCCCGTGGGAGAGCGGGCTGGGAAGGAGTGCAAGGGGGGTTATTTCTCCTAAGAAGAGTCTTCCCTGGACGGAACTTCCATTTAGGGGCAGAGGGCCTTGCTGCCTCTTTTCTGCCCAGGCACCAGCCCTCCTCCCCTGTTGCTGGTGGTCCCCGGGCCTTCCTCCCCTCTAGCTGGTGGTCCCCGGGCCTTCCTCCCCTCTAGCTGGTGGTCCCCGGGCCCTCCTCTCCTCTAATTGGTGGTCCCCGGGCCCTCTTCTCCTCTAATTGGTGGTCCCCGGCCCTCCTACCCTCTAGCTGGTGGTTCTCCAGCCCTCCTCCCCTCTAGCTGGTGGTTCTCCAGCCCTCCTCCCCTCTAGCTGGTGGTCCCTGGCCCTCTTTCCCTCCAGCTGGTGGTCCCCGGCCCTCCTCCCCCTCTAGCTGGTGGTTCCCCGGCTCTCCTCTCTAATTGGTGGTCCCCGGCCCTCCTCCCCTCTAGCTGGTGGTCCTGGGCCCTTCCCCCTGGCCAGATGCCCTCACTGGTGGGCACCATGCACAGGTGGTATTACTCCTGCAGGATCCCTTAAACCAGTGGGTAATGAATCTCATCACTCAAATGGGGTTCTTATGACTGCAACACACCCCTAAAACCACCGCTCAGAGGTGTCATAAACAGCTGCTCACCAAGCCCAGCCACCCCTCATGAGTGTCTGCACTGGGGCTGATCGGCCAAGTTCCTTGATGTGTCGTGGACGAGCGGTGGCAGACGGCAAAAGCTTTAGAGCAGGTGTCCTCAAATTATGGCCCGTGGGCCACATGCAGCCCACCTAGGACATTTATCTTGCCCGCTGGGTGTTTTTGCTGACATTGCCTGTCCTGCTTAGCAGCCGACTCGTCCCAGGGCCTGCAGTCCAGCCCTCCAATGGTCTGAGGGACAGTAAACTGGCCCCTGTTTAAAAAGTTTGAGGACCCCTGCTTTAGAGAGAGCTTCCCTCCACACAGACATCTGGGCTCATCCTCCGGCCACGCAGAGAGCCTGCTGGGGGTGAGTTTAGGTGAGGTGTGAATACCTGACTGCCACACCTGCCCAGAGGCCCTTGCTTTATTTTTATTTTAGCTTTTATTATGGAAAATAAGACATGAACTTCAGCATGCCAGCCCCCCTTGTTACCCAGCTTCAAGATGTTTCAACTCATAGCCATCTTCTTTTCTCTCTGCTCCTCGTTCCCACTGGATCACTTCAAAGCAAGTCCCAGGCATTTCAGTCATAATTCACCATGTCACCCTTGGTAGAGTGCTGTGGCGTCACAGCTCACAGCAACCTCAAACTCCTAGGCTTAAGCGGTTCCCTTGCCTCGGCCTCCCAAGTAGCTGGGACTACAGGTGCCCACCACAACGACCTGCTATTTTTTTATTGTAGTTGTTGTTTGGCAGACTCAGGCCGGGTTTGAACCCACCAGGCCCGGTGCATGTGGCTGGGGCCCTAGCTGCTAAGCTACAGGCACTGAGCCCATGAATATTTCAAATAATCTAAACAAAGTGGGATCGTATAAAATTAACTCCCCGCCATCTATTATCACCCAGAAGTTCTTTAATAATAAATAGCCAGCGAGTATTTGATTTTCTCTTACTGTCTTCCATACATAAAGATAATATGTATGTCATATAAGTCTTTCATATAGTTATTATTTTTTAGACTGTGTTGTTCTTTTGCCTGGGCTAAAGTGCCGTGGCCTCAGCCTAGCTCACAGCAACCTCTACCTCCTGGGTTCAAGGAGTCCTGCTCAGCCTCCCAAGTAGCTGGGACTACAAGCACCTGCCACAACACCTGGCTAATTTTTTCTTGTTTTTGGCAGAGGCAGTGTCTTTTGCTTAGGCTGGTCTCGAATCCCTGAGCTTAAGCAATACTCCTGTTTCAGCATCCTGAGTAGCTGGTATTACAGGCGCAGGCCACCACACCCAGATTTTTTTTTTCTATTTTTAGTAGAGATGGGGGTCTCGCTCGTGCTCAGGCTGGTCTCAAACTCCTAATCTCAGGCAATCCACCTGCCTCAACCTCCCAGAGTGCTGGGATTACAAGTGTGAGCCACAATGCCCAGCCAGCCTTCCCATATTTCCCTTACAATCTATTTGGTCATTTGATTTTGGAAAAGCTGTGTTTACCCCAAGAAAGGTCCAGCTACTGACATGCCTGAGGCTGTCTAGGTAAAGTGAGACTCCAGCTAAGCAGGGGGAAGAAGGACTGTTCTCTGCCACACATTTCTCCATACCCTTAAACTCCTGCTCCGGGCCAGCCTGGTTCTGCCACACACTTCTTCATAACCTTAAACAACTGCTCTGAGCCAGCCTGGTTCTGCCACACACTT